AACATCCAATTTAGAAAGTTTCTCCTGGTCCCTGGGGATATATCCCCAACATTTCTCAATAGTTATGTTTCTTAGTCAACACTATAGAAGAGACGGGTACAATGTGACATGAGGCCAAGGCAGAGGACTGAAACCAAGTAAAGATGACAGATGAAGAATTGTTCACATTATTCTCAAAGCCTAAAGGTTTCAGAGCGTCTTGTTATCATTAAAGAAACATCATAGACGCTTCTGTTATAAAGCATCAGTCCCCACTGTGTTGACAGAATGCCTAATTTCCAACCTACCATGTACCTCCAAATAACCAATGTTCCACGTAGGAGACAAACATCTTCTCATAGAATGTTCCAGCTTAACAGCTTCATTTGGGAGAATCTAAGGATCTGACTTTGAACTCAGTCTCTAGGTCTGAGATAAGCTAAAATCTACCTTGTAAACCACCTGGTTGGGAGATTGTCATACCAGCCCCAGGCACTGACTCATCCCTTACACTCTTCACAGTAATAAAAAGGAATTGTTTGGAGGACATAAGCATTTTCATTTAAAAAGCTCCCAGTAATCTAGGACTTATCAAACTTGCTGAACTCTAGGTAGGTACCAAAGGATCTTATGAATGGCATCTAAACATAATGGTGAGAGTTAGTGATTTTTTTCATGGATCAAAGACAATGGGAACCTGTTATGGTGTGCATGGGAGGTGCCCTCTGAAAGCTCACATGTGAGTGAATGCAAGAGGATTTGGAGCAGAAATGAATGGATTTTACATTTAGCCTAATCAGTGACTTAATCCCTAATGGGATTAACTGATAGTAGTTGAGGTTTGGCTGGAGGAGGTGGGCATTGGGACATGGCTTTGTGGTAATGATTTTTTTTAAAAAATCTGGATTCTGGAGACTCTGTCTCTCTGTTTTTTGATTCCATGTGAGCAGCTTCCCTCTACCACACTCTTCCGCCATGTCATTCTGTTTCACCTTGAGCCCCAGTGAATGGAGCCTGTTGCCCAAGAACTGAGACTTCTGAAACTATGAACTCCCAAATGAACTCTTTGTCCTCTATAATTGTTATGATAGGATCTTTTAATCACAGTGACAAAAAGAGCTGACTAAAACAGATGGTCCTCTGTCTGCAACACTTTCCCTCTCTCTAGAAGCCTGGATTCTCTTGAATAATCCTCCTGCGGAAGCTGGTGGCCGCCATCTTGTCCTGGGATCACCTGGTATTCTCTCTCTTCTTCAGGTTCCATACTCTTCCTTGCAAGTTCGCATTCCCCCCTTTTCTATGGACATGATCCAAGTTGAATTAATACACACCCCAAGGGCCTCGTTTTAGCTTGATTAGCCACTGGGGACACTGCTCCTGAGGGACAAATTTCAACATAGAAATTTGCAGGCAGGGCTCTCAATTCAACAAATCTCAGAAACTTCACTTTCTCTCTGGTGAAATGCTTAATTAATCTTATATCTCTTGGGCAAATCACTTGGTCTGGATGAGTTGACCTTCAAATGTATGGCTGGTTTCAGTTATCTAATATTCTGTTACATATTTTTATATGCTTTAGATGAACATATATCTTCAAAATATATTTTGATTGTCAATTACACACAAACACACACACACCAACACACACACACACACACACACACACACACACACACACACACATATATATATTCCTAAGTGCTGAACACAGGAGAGCTTAGCTACTGAGTCATATCCCAATTTTTTTTTGTATTTCATTTTGAGTCTGCATTCCAATAACTTTCTCAGAGCCTCACTCATTATTGTAAAGGTCATTTATGACAAACTCAAGGTCAGCATTGTACTAAAAGGAAGAATAACTAAAAGGATTTACTATGAATTCAGGAACAAAAAAGGCTGTCCATTCTCAAAAATCCTATTTGTGAAAATAGAATCCTTGAAATGCTAGCCACAGTGATGAGAAAAGAAAAGGTAATCAAGGGGATACAAACAGAAGAAGTCAAACTATCTCTTCTGAACATATTATCCTCTAACTAGAAAATATATAAAACTCTATTAGAAGACTATTCTTGAGTTTATAAATGAGTTTAGCAAAGCAGCAGGATAC